AATAAAATTTAATAAAAAAATATAAGAAAATGGCCTTGCCTGTCTAGCTAAGGTAGCAGGTGGCTCGTAAATCAGAGTGGAATGTCCCTCCCTAAAGACTCTGTTGATAAAAATCCTTCCCAGTAAGTGTGACTTCCCATTCTGCCTCTCCAGGATGAGGAACTCACCCGGGCGCTCCCATTTCCTCCCTTTAATAAAGCTGCATTAAGCTTTCTCTCGTTTCTCTCTGATTTCTTCTTTAAGTCCACCAACATGTACAATAGAACAGATTGTACTGAGGTTGAGCCATCGATTTTGGAAACACAAACATAGTAAATACAGTAAATGGGGTTAAGTGTATCGGAGACAGTGAGACTGACTCAGGATAGGGGTACTATGAGTCTCTACGGCACATAAACAGAACAGACAACAACTAACATTGAACAGACAGCAACCAACATTGAACTATACTGTATTCTATTCTTTAACGTCAATATAGCACAGAAATTGAAATCTTGGAGTTTGGAATAAACTGGTTTGGGGATTTTGGCTTAGTCCCTTGGGACATCTGGAGCGCCCCCCCCCCCAGCCAGTCTCACTTCAGGACCCGCGAGTGGAGTGCTGTCAAAAGAACTGTATTTCCCAGAAGACCGAGCGCCGACGCTGACGTTTTTCCTCCCAAGGTGCCTCGCGGCGGGAAGGAATTTAGCGGATGAAGCCGAAGCCACTAGCTTTCCTCGTCTGTGCCGCTGTCACCTTTAGAAGCTATTGTGGCCTACTCCGTTGTCCACGCTAACCACCATGTCCGCCCAGGCGCAGATGCGGGCCCTGTTGGACCAACTTATGGGGACGGCCCGGGACGGTGAGTCGGGGCGGCCAGCCAAGCGAGGGGCTTGGGGCGGGAACGAGGTGAGGCCGCCGGGCGCCCTGAGGGTGGTGCGCCGAGCATCTGCGCCTGCGCGGGTGCTGCTACACCCTCCCTTCCCCCGTGTCCGACCGCAGGCGCCGGGGCCTTTGTTTGAGCCGTGGCCTGACTTCTTCCCTGGCGGGGTTCCTCCCTGGGAGCCCGCGCGGTCGGCCGGGCTCCTGTCCCTTCTTGGCCTTTCCTCCTGCGACTTCCTCCCGGCCGCTGCCTCGCAGCCTCCGCGCACTGGGGCAAGAGCCAGCGCGGGCGCCGGGTCGCCGGCAGCCAGGTGGCGGACTTCCTCGAGGCTCCTCGGCAAAGGGGTTGCACCCGAGTGAGCCAGACGGGCCTCCGGACGTTGCAAGGGCTTTTCTCACCTGGGTTCCTGCGAGTGCTTCCCCGCCCCCAGCCACAGGAGAGCCTGTCTGTGTAGATAGCGATGCAGGTGTTAGGTAGGTTGTACTGTAGGGAGGAAAACAATACTTTCGCAAAGCTCCGTATTTGCTGCGGGTTTTGGTTTCTCTTTCTACCGATGTTACAGAGCTGTAAAATTCACACTTGCTCAGTTGCAGGGCATTAGAGATCCCTTTCGCACTTTATTTCCTAGGCAGTCAAGTGCTTTACTTTTTTTTTTAGCTTTCTTTGTGTATTGAGTTGCTTTTGAATTGCTTCCCATATTTTTATTTCATACAAACTGAACAATTGTGGCCCCTCTATTTTATTTATAAAGGTTCAGTGTATCTTTGCCTGCCTACATCAATCTGCAAGGGAGTTGCAGAAAAGCAAAGCCTCATGTTCATCGAGCCGTGAGTCACAACCAATTTCTAAGCTGTTATAACAAAAAAGTGTTTGCTTTTTTCACGAGTAACTTTAAAAGTGTAGTTTAGAAAGAAAACATTTTCAATTAAAGAGAGAGAGACACAACATTAAATCTGGATGCTTGCAACCCTAGACTATATTCTTCCTTGAGTAATTACACAGCTCTGTGTCATAGACACGGGTCAGCTTTAAAGTTTATCACATACCACTTTGCCTTTACTTTTATGTATCATTCCCCTAACTTCCTTACTGCAGGTGTGGGCAAGAAAACTTTTCCTTTAAAACTTTTCAACAGCGGGCATAAAATTCTGCAGCTGAGGTCTTGAAGAATGCAGATGGGTACAGTATATGTTGGAGCTCACAGTGTGTATTGACTAACCTAGTTCTTTTCTGCTCTTTTTTTTTTCCCCTCCCCCTGTACTGTCTTGATAAAAGTGACTCCCAGGTGCCAGCTCCCCCTTCTTTTCTTTTTTTTTTCCTCTATTTTCTTTTTTTTTGTTGTTGTTGAGTGGGAGGCAAAATGGGGATAGGAAGAATAGGTATAGGTTACTGACAGGTGGCATTTGGAAGCTTCCTTCTTCTTGTAAACTTTGGAAAGACACTGCCTATGCAATTGTCCATAAGAAAAGACTGGGTTAGTAAACAGCTCTTGATGTTAGAAAATACCAGCTGTGTATCATGTGGCGATTCATGGTCTGTACCCCATTCCCCACATGTGTATGTGGGATTAATGTGCTTGTCAGCCTTTTACAGCTGACTCCTTGACTTCCTTTGCACAATGTCAGAGTCAGAGCTCACTAAGTCTATTTCTTCATGATACTCTCAGCATGGTAAGACTTCTTTATTCTGCTCCACTTGTAAATAGATAAATTTTTCAGTGTATCTCAGGAAAGAACACAGAAATGATAGTCTGCAAATCCGGGTGAATTATTATACCAAATACCCATTTGTGGTTAACATGGTAATATTGTCTTATTTAAAACCACACATGAATTTCAGGAGACGAAACCAGACAGAGGGTCAAGTTTACAGATGATCGTGTCTGCAAGAGTCACCTTCTGGACTGCTGCCCCCATGACATCCTGGCTGGGACGGTAGGTGCATTTTGGGAGGACCTCAGGGAACGGTTGGATTTGGACGCTCTGTAGGTTGTTAATGTTCAATATGCAGAAATAGTTCACTGCATTTCAGCTTATAGATTCCCTTAGTTTGATGGGATTTTGTATTGTGAAATTTATTGCACTATTTAGACAGTGTGTAAAGTTAACATTTTCATTGACATTGTTGTTGATATGTGCCCTCAAGTCAGAATTGACCCAGTGGGTTTTTGAGGCAGTAAGTTGCATGGGAGGAAATTGCCCATCCTTTTTCTATAGAGCAGCTGGTGGATTTTTAACTCTCTGCCTTTGGGATTGTAGCACAACTTATAAACACTATCTCACTAGAGCTTCCCTTTCATTCAAGTAGTCACAACTAACACTGCAACTATTTTTGTTTAGTCTTTAGCTAAAAATATACTTCAGATCAACAGGCAATTCTTTGAAGATTCTGGGCTGATTGATTTGTTTTTCAGGGTAAATATGCTAGATGGACTTTGTCTCCAACGTCTTCAGATTTTTAAAAATCATTTGGGGATGATTATGACTTGATAGTTTCCTATTTTAAGAAACCAGCATATTTGAAACATAAGTGGGAAGTTTTTATAGTACACAGCACATGTATTAAATTATAAAATGATAGTTGTGGGCTTTGTAAGACTCTCTTTCTGTTAAGAGTCGAGTTCCAATAAATAATCTTTCATTCTTTAATCCACCAAATTTAGAATAAATGTACACTGAGTAAGGATATGACAGAGGAAATGAAGGTAGTGAGTAACAGAGCTGACAAGTGCATTCTTGTCAGTGGGGCTGACCATCAGAGGGTACAGTGTGAAATGACTGATGGGATTTAACTGTCCCTTAGTGTGTAGTATTCTGCCTACCTTGTGATAAAAGAGTGGGACTGGCCATAACCTCCCTTATGGTCTTGGCAAAGCTAAAATGGTGGCTCCTAGAGAAGGTGTACCCCAAAATTATGCACGAGCAGGAGTGCTTCTGAGAGGTTTTATGCCAAAGAGGACAACCAAGAATTTTTTTCTTTATACCATTATGATTTCAATATTTTCTTGACTGTTGAAGTTCTTAGAATAGAAATTTATATATAAAATTTTAGTACATACTTTTCTAGTTGTCTTTTAACAGAAGAGCCTTAATTAATTTTTAAGCATTTCTTTTCAGCTTTTACCACTTATTCTACAGCTATATCAGTCAACTTTGTTTGTGGGAACTGTATTTTAAAGAACCACATGGGGTTGAGAAAATTGACCTAAATATTGTTGGCTTTATAGAGGTAGAGATGACAGTTACAGCTGAAGAACTGTATTTATAACTTATTCTTACTCTGGCCTTAGAGTAGGGATGAAGGAAAGTAGATCTTTGGTCAAAGTGAAAATGACCTTAATGCTTGTCTGCCTTAATGGTTGTCTTCCCAGCCCTCTGCTCTATCTCTGTCTCTGGTGGTTTGGAGGGACTTTTTTTTTTTTTTTAAATTTATTTTATTATTTTTGTGTGAGTGTACCGTCAAATCAGATCTAACTGGTACAGAAGGAGATTGTCCCTCCTTCCCCAGCAGAGCATCTGGTGGATTCAAACTGTGTGCCTCTGGGATTGTAGTTGCAGCTCCTTACCTCTAGGCCACCAGAGCTCCCCTATGGAGGGACTTTTTAAAGACCCTGGAATAGGCACTCTGCTCCTGATGTGTGAGTTTGCTCTAACTAGAGTGAAGCATTTGAAAAATACATATTTTTTTAATATATTTTTTAATATGATTGTAATTTTTAGCTTGACCTTGGGGTGAACCTTCTGACTGGGAAGTTGGGTTTTATTTTTGTGTTATCACTTGTTATATTGGGCCTAAGTATACAGATTTGTTACTCTGTTTCAATGACCAGAGCTGTATGAGACCTTTACAGTGCCTTGTATCCAGGATTTTGGTCCAGATGTACCTCCTACTAATCTGACAGGATATCATTTTATATGTATAGTTGTATTTGGTTTTGTTGTTAAGTGCTGTCTAGTCTGACTCATAGTGTCCCTGTGAACAGTAGATCTGAACCTAGTCCTATTCTGCACCATCCTTATCAACTTCGGCATATTTGAATCTGTTGCCACAGACACACTATCAGTCCATCTTGTTGAGAGTCTTCTGCTCCTTCACTGACCCTCTACATTTTGAAGCATGATAGCTTTTTCCAAGGAATAGCCTGTCCTAACAACATGCTGAAAATATGTGAGACCATCTTTGCCTCCATGGAATATGCTGGTTGCACTTTCTCCATGTTGTATCTGTTCGTTCTTTTGGCAGTCTGTAGGATACTCCGCATTCTTCTGCACCACCACAGTTTAAAGGCATCAGTAATTCTTCTGCCCTCCTTAGTCATTGTCCAGATCTCACATACATAGCAGGTCATTGGAAAGACTGGGTTGACTCAAGAGCACCTTAGTCTTTAAATTGATGTCATTACTCTTCAGGACTTTGCAAAGATCCCTGACAAGATTTTCCCAATGCTATATATCTCCTGATTGCTGGTACCAAAAGTATTGACTGTGGATTCAAGGAAAATGAAATAGTTTTGTCAGTTTCAACCTTTTCTCCATCTCTTATGATGTTACCTATTGGTCCAGTTGTGAGGATTTTTGTTTTCTTGATGTTGAGATGCTATCAGTATTGAAGACTGCAGTCCTTGATCCTCTGCACCAAGTGCTGCAACTTTTTTTTTTTAGGTAAAATATTGTTCTAGCCATCTTTAAATAAATGGGTCTAGGCGAGCTCTGGTCGCCTAGTGGCAAGAAGCTGCACTGCAATCCCAGAGGTGCGCAGTTTGAATCCACCAGGTGCTCTGCTGGAAAAGGAGGGACAATCTCCTCTTGTACCAGTCAGATCTGATTTGATGATACACACACAAAAAAAATAATAATAAAAAAATATGGGTCAGTGATGCTAGTTATGTTTATCATTTTATGCAGCCAACACCCTGATCCATTTCTTTGCTTTCATTACCTGAAACAGGAACACGCACCCTTTTGCAGTAGTTCACCATTTTCTTCTCATTCCTTGAAAACTGCTTTTTTTGTTTGCCTATTCAGGATATTTTCTTAACTTGGGATCATATAGTATTTGTCTTTTTGTGTGTAACTTGAGAGAGACATCATACTTGGAAAGGTGGAGGGATGGTCAAAGAGAGGAAGACCCTCAACCAGGTGGTTTGACACAGTGACTGCAGCAGTGGGCTCAAGTGTGTCAGCGATTGTGTGGATGCACAGACTACGACAGGGTTCAAATTTCTAGAGTTGCTATGAGTTTTACTTGATGGCCCTTGACAAAAACAGTTTGGCTTAGGTAGCTCTGGTGGCTTAGTGGCAAGGAGTTGAATTGCCAACCATAAGGCATGCTATTGGAATCCACCAGCTGCTCTGAAGGGAAAAGATGGGCAATCTCTTCCCTGGCAAGGTGATTAAACTTGCTAGTAGGTCAGCTGTGAGGTAGTTTCCATCATACAGAACAACAGCATTTCACTCAGTGATAAACTGTAGTGTGTAATTTCATTTCTCTTTCAGTAGTATTGTCTTTATAGGGAAGGGCTCCATGCTATTTGTTATCTCTTGGTGAACACACTGGTTGATTATATCTAGAAGGCGACTGGGTAGTCCAGTGAGAGGAGTCCAAAATGGGAGATTGTTTTGAGGGTTAGTGTGGTTCTGAATCTGCCTGCTGAGCTTTATGTACAAAGATCTAGACCAAATCATGCTGTATCCAGTTTCCATCTGTTCTTTTCCCCAGCTGCTCTCCACAGCTTGGGCGCCGAGTTTGCAAGGAACCAGGCAGCACATCAATGTAGTTGGTACTCTGGCTTTTTCCTTGCTCTCTCACCCTGTGCACTATTCAGGAACACTTAGATTTCCTGTGTAACTGACTGATGGCAAAAGTAGTTAATTGCGGTGCTTTTCATTGAGGTAGTTCCAGTGGTCTCTGCAATCTAAAATGAAGTATAAATCTCTTTACTCTGTTAAATATATCCATTTTAAGTATTTTTTAAAATGCAACATAAATATATATATTTTACAGCACATTTTTCCCATTTACTTTCCCCCCCATTTATTCATTGTTGCACATTTTCCTCCCTGCCCACCCCTTCCCCCAGTTCTCTTTTCTCTTTGAAAAGGGGAAAAAAAATGTCTTTCACTGTTAACACAGTCCCCTCCAGCCCAAGTCCACAGTCCACTTTACTAAGTGTTTTCTTTTTTTGCAATCAAGTAGAACAACTGCTCAGGTATTTCTCAGTATTTTTTTAATAATCCATGTCCTTAGGATTCAACAGATCTCATTTATTCATTGGTTGAGGAACTCTGGTTTTGTTCTGTGCTTTGTCCTTTGGGTATGTGTTCATTTCTTTTTTTTTTTTTTTTCGCTGCAGCTGAAAGCTTCTTTATTGTGGTAAAATGGCGGTGGCGGCGTCATGTGTTCATTTCTGAGTATCTTCTTTCTCTTCACAGCGCATGGATTTAGGAGAGTGCACCAAAATCCACGACCTAGCCTTGCGAGCAGATTATGAGATTGCAAGTAAAGAAAGAGACCTGTTTTTTGAATTGGATGTAAGTTTTGATTTACACTGATGTCATTCCTACGTGAACAGCCATATGTTGAGGTAACAGAATAATGTAACATGTATTAAGTGATGAGCAGAGTACTCCTATGATCTGACACTGAAGCCAGAAGCTTGAGCATAGCTATTTCTCTCCAACTGTGTTTCCCTCACGTTGCCATTGTCCTGTAGTTTGTATTACTACTGCCTTTTAAAAATACATTATGATGTAACTTTGTGATTCCTTGGACAAAGTTTTTGCTTATTTTCGAAAATGGCTTCATAATGTAGATAAAGTTTTAACTTTTTTTCTTAACAGTAATTTAAAGTTTATTCCAGCTATAATTCAAGTTACTCCGACTTTAAGGTAGCATCACATGGCATACTTCTGATACTATGCTCTGCATAATTTTTTTTTAACAGATCCAGACAGGGGGTCATCTGGGTTTGGATCACACAGCAGTGAACAAATGGATAAAAGAACTCTAGAAATAGCTAAAGCAGGAGACCACTGTGATCTTAGTATATTGAGACAAGTGCTGCCATTGTTATTGATAATTGGATAGATTCTTGTAAAGGTTTAACTTTTATTATTCAATATTACAATTCTCATATGTGCCATGGAATGAATGTTGGCATCTTTGCTTTTGGAATCTTGGTGGTGTGGTGGTTCAAGCAGTGGATTGCTAACCATAAAGTCAGGGAAACACATATACCAGCTGCTTTTTAGGAGAATGAAGTAGCAGTTTACATCTGTCTGTAAAACATTTATCACTTTAGAGGTAGTTCTGCTCTGATTGTGTAAGACCCAATTTGACCACAATGAGTTTTCTTTTTTTAGGGGGTGGTGTTTGATTTATTGCTGCTTAAATATTCTTCAGACTTGGCCGTTTGGGCTATTTCTGGCTTTTTGCTATTACCAACAGTTTTGTGAATAGTCTCTGATGGTTTCTTGATGTTTGGGTTTATCTAGGATGGGTTCCTGGGAAAGCTGCTGCTGGCTCCTGAGAAAGAAGCAAAGGATGCAGATGTTTATGCAGAGTAGTACTGTAGTATTTTTCTGTGTTACATACTTTTTAAAGTACTAGGACAAATGATGGTGTCCTGGTGGCACAGTGGTTAAAGTGGCTGTCAACTAAGGGAAAACAATTCTGCATGAAAAAGGTTTGGCAAGTTGCTTCTATAAAGATTTACAGCCTTTGAAACCCTGGTGGGCATCCTGCCCTGTCTTATAAAAACACATCAAGTTGGAACTGATTTTGTGCCATTTTACATCCCCAATAGCTTTGTGTCTATGTCCTCATTGACACTTGGTATTATCAAGTTAGTTAATTTTTACAATTTAGTGGCTGTGAGATGATAATTTCCCTTAGGATTCAGTGATTGCAAGCTTTTGCGTATATTAGTAAATCTATTTAAAGAAGTACTGTTCAAGCCTTTATTCTCTCTACACTCCAATTTGTTTACTAAAATTGTCTTTTTAGGCTTTTTTTTCCTTCCAGTCAGCCCCTCTCATCATAGAGTGTTAATATTACAGACACAGCTGCATGTCCTTTTAAGTATCATGGTCCTTTGGAAGACTGCAAGCTGGTGTGATAGTGAAGTCCTGACCTATTGAGTGAGTGTGTGATTTAGCTATCTCCATCATTCTCCTTCCTTTGCTCTGTTCCTCTGTCGTGGTTATGACCAGGACTCAGTGCTGAGACTGCATGTTGGGAGGAAGGGGCCAGAGGAACTCTGAACCAGAAAAGCTGTTTCTCACCCCCCAGGGAAATTTTTAAAGAATAAGTTGCTAGCTAGAGAAAAATGGATTGAAAACCAGATATCTTAAAAAAGTAATTCTTTTTCAGGTACTTTATTAACATAGGAGCTCTTGTGTTGCAGTGGTTATTTGCTTAGCTGCTAATATATAAAGTCATCAGTTCAAACAATACCAGCTGCTCACAGGGGAAAAATTGGGCAATCTGTTCCTAAAGTAAGGTTTCTTTTCTTTCTTTAAAGAAATATTTTTATTATTAAAAAAATTATTATTTGTGTGTGTGTGTATGTATGTACCATCAAATCGGATCTGACTGGTACAGGAGGAGATTGTCCTTCCTTCTCCAGCAGAGCATCTGGTAGATTTGAACCACACACCTCTGGGATTACAGTGCAGCTTCTTGCCAGTAGGCCACCAGGGCTTGCTTAAAGTAAGGTTTCTATAGACAGTTTTGCTCCATCCTACAGGGTTGCCAGCTATGCATGAATGGACTTAACCGTAGTGGTTTGATGACAGATACGCTGTATACTCTGTTGAATCTTTGCATTAACTTCAGATGCCTCTTAACAGCAACTTGGCTAACATGAGACTTTGGAGTGGAAATTTCTTGTGTGAGTGCCCCTAAGCAACTTTGTGTGGGTTGGATATTTTTTCCCTCCTGGGACTGGTTGCTTCAGTTGTCCCCAACACATGGCAGAATGTTGCTTTAAGTAGTTACTTCTCAAGGGAGAGCACCCCTTTCCCATTCACCTAGTACTGTCTTCTTTAGCTTTATATTGTGATTTGGAGTGAACTTCTATAAAGCAAATTGGCTTCTACCCATTTTACCTTATGATCCTGATTGCATTCCCTGCCAGGTAACATCACTCTTCCATTTCTTCATATTTAGTTTCCTTCCATTTCTTCTTGTCTTTTCTTCATCCCTGAGTGAATGCTGTCCTTTTCCTTCTGTATTAGCCTCCTTACATGAGTTCTTCCCTGGTGGCATTCAACTTATACACCTCTATTGTTTAGTTAAGAGTTGAGCCATGGGGAGAATTTACTTAGGGTTTTTTTGTTTTGTTTAAAAAATTTTTTTTATTTCATTATTTTTTGTGTGTATCGTCAAATCACATCTGACTGGTACAGGAGGAGATTGTTCCTCCTCTAGCAGAGCATCTTTTGGATTTGAAGTGTGCACCTCTGAGCTTGCAGTTGCAGCTTCTTGTCACTAGGCCACCAGAGCTCTCCAGGGTTTTTTTGTTTGTTTGTTTGTTTGTTTGTTTTGGCAATCTAAGTTTTTATTTGAAAGTTAGTAAGACTGTTTTTTCAGTAACCAAACATTATTTCTCAAGAATTTAAAAATAACTATAGAACTGTATCATATTGTGCATATCCTGGTCTGTTTAACCTTAATCTGGACAAAATGCTTACTGCTAACAGTATTATGTCTACTTTAGAAAGTGCACATATACACAATATTGGCAGATGAATTTCAACACTTTCATCAAAGGAAAATTACATCAGAAAGTTTTCATGACAAGTCTGTATGTAATTCATAAATATACTCTGAAGAAACCTACATCAAGTAATGTATGATAAGAGAGCCTGTATGAAAAAAGGAACAAAAAAGGGTAAACTGTATGAGTTAATACCCCAAACAGAATAGCATTACCTCAAATTCATCTAAGCTTTATATTCAGATTCTTTAGATAGTACATAGAATTGCCACACGATAGTTAAAGCACGCGCACATAAAACCAAACCACCACCATACTATCCCAAAACAATACCTACATTTTTTGATGGATTGTCTCAATGTTTTCTTACAGGTATATGTCAGCCTTGCTACCAGAGAAAGGAAACATCTTAACTTTCTGGATCAGGATTTCTAAACCTGTCTTTAGAAAGATGCTTTTCCCCATTATGCTTCAGACTGTGTTTGCAGCTTATCTTGGGTCTAGGCAATATAAGTTACTCATAAAAGCCCTTCATTTACCTGAACCTGACCTAGAAACTTCCAAGATTTAGAATCTTAGAAGTATATATACAAAAATAAGGGGTTTTTTTAATGACAACTTTATTGAGATGTGATTCATATCCTTTAATACTATAAAATTAACCCTACTTCTTTTTTTTAGTAATAGTTAGCCTTATACAAATTGTTATACAAGAGTAGCTTGATTTCATTATACCAAAGTAAAGTAACATCATTTTATTAGTTATGCACATTAAACTTAGATAAGTCTCTTACCATAAATTAAAACAGCTGAAATGTATTTAAGCTAATGATGACTGTTTATCAGTTTTTTTAGCTAAGTGGAAGTCACTTTTACAACTTTCAATATTCTTCCTCCTCTGTGACCTCTTCTTCCTCTTCTCATTAGAGATCCCTATTTAGTGGGAAAGGTTCTTGAGCCACCATTCTGTCCCATGTTTTGGTACAAATAAGTTTGACAGTGCTGCCTCCATTTCTAGATATCAGATTTATCAAGGCTCAACTTGAATTTGTCTTGTCAAAATTGCAAGTTTAGGGAGCCTCATTCATATTTGGCCATGAAGGTGACTGGTCCAGTCACCAACTAGACTTACTATAACTTCCTGGGCTCACCCTGCTCCACTGCATGGACTGCCCTTGCGTGCCAGGTATCACTTACTGTCCACATTCAGGTTGGATTCTGAAAGTTCTACAATGGCTGTCATCCCAGGAGGTGTACAAGGTTTATTTTTTTTGTACAACGTAGGCATATTAATCCAAATTTACTTGAATTGTTTGAAAAGTTTGGAAGGTTGAACGACGCACTTCATAACTTCTGTTTGTGGTTGTGGTAGATGTCGAAAGAGCAGCTCCAGCTCATAGCTCACAGTGTGTGTCACAACAGAACCTTGTCCAGTTTTTCATCAGTCTCTTCTGTGTTTGAGCCCAACTGAGTTGTTGGCAGCCACTGTATTATGAATGAATTAGCATAAACACTTTGCTATAAAATACTCTTGTTATTTATGTTTATTCCCTGAGAAATGTTTTTTTTTAACTCAGATTTTTAGTCTTGATCACTTCACAATTAAGATTTAGTCCTTAAAGGTGAAGGTTTGAAATCTGTTACTTTTAATTAGTTGCTGAACTTATAAGTGACATTAACTTTTGTTAGGATTTTAAATTCTCATCAGTTGTTCTTTTCCACATGTGTGAAACGTATGGACTTTGAGTCACCACTAATGATTTTTTAAGTTGTCTTACAGAAATACTTGTCTGAGTATAAGAAGACTTGGTTGGCATGCTTACTACATCTTTTTTTTTTCTTTCCTTTTTCTATTTTCTGGAAATGGTGACTATATTTAGTCATTGTTTTTACAATTGAAACTCTGGAAATTAAAAATTAACATCCTTGTCTGTGAGTTCCATATATACCTCAGAAAAAGTTTAAGGCTTATGTTCTATATTATTCTACTGTGCTTTGTTCAAGTGGACCATTATAAGCCAGCTGCCATCAGTTTAACACAGATTCTGTTGCCCATAATATCACTGGGAAATACCAGTTCTTCAGGGATTTCATCATGCACAGCTGTCAGGGTGTGGCTCCTGGGCACTTTTGTTTATTTTTTGTGCAGCTTTTCCAAGTTGCTTTAGGCAGAATTTTCTGAACAGTAAAGACATTATGCTTTCCACTGAGCTTTTTCTTTAGTTCACATAATAAACGGACTTGGATTTTCTGGAAAGATTTCATTTGAGAAACAGGAAAAAAGTTACAATAGTTTTCCGACCACCACCAACTTAAGTTTCCTTAGCTGTGGTTATATTGAGCTCCCTTAGTTGAGCCTTTAGGTCTGAGTTCATCTCCAGCTCAAGAAGAGCCTGAGAGATGCCTGACTTGAATTCATCTGGTTTTTCTCCACTTGGCTTCACAATCTTCACATTTAAACTGAGCATGGCCTTTTTAGTGCAGAGTCCAGCTTAGGAAGAGCCACATAATTTTTGAATGCTGTGCTTCTAGGAATAGGTTAGAGGGCTGTGTTCAGTCCATACAGTGACTTATGGAGAATCTGGACACATTGAAGTGAAGAGAGACTGGAACATGGGAGAAGGAGCAATTACAGAACTTCTACTTGGTTAGGACAAAGTAGTGTGCATCTATTTCTACCCTGTGACTTTCACAAGTCTCTGTCCTAAGAATATGTTGGGTTTTTTGGGTGTTTTTTTTTAAGTAGTAGTATTTGTGTAAGTGCGTACTGTCAAATCAGACCTGACTGGTACGGGAGGAGATTGTCCCTCCAGCAAAGCATCTGGTGCATTCGAACTGCACACCTCTGGGATTGCAGTGCAGCCTCTTGCCACTAGGCTACCAGAGCTCACCAAATATGTTGGTTTTTTTAAATTTATCCCCCCCCCCAAGAATATGTTTTAACATACAAGAAAAGATGTATGCATGAAGTGTTTTATGGCAAGATTGTGCATAAAAATGAGCAAGTGGATATAACAGAAATGCCTAGTAACAGGAATGATCAGTTATGATGCATCCAGATTGCAGACTGTACTGTTGGAGCTAATATTTATGATGCCAATTTAATGACTTAGAATAGTTTATGACATATGAGCAAGACAACTTTATTCCCTGAAGATTTTGATTCTCTTTAAATGCTTTTATGTTTTTAATGAGCAGAAGACTCCTGCCTCTAGCTTTAAAAACAAAGGGGCAGGTTTAATGGGAAACCCCTAAAGCCCCTCTTCCCTGGGCCCCACCCTGCTCCATAGAGGCAGTCACTGCATGTTGCTTTAAAATAAGATAAAGCAAATAGTTTAAAAAGAATTACACAGTTTAAGTGCTAAACCTTGGCTCTCTAAAGTTTCATAAGAGTCATAGTTGTTGAGATTTCCTAGACAGCTCACTGGAACAGCTTATTGGCTTAAAACGCTTGGACAGTAATTTAATAGGACAGTTTAATTTATTGACATGACATAGTTCACCTTGATTCCACAACCTAGTTTGGTAAGTAGCTTCTGAGGCTTAAAAGCTTGTGAGCAGCCTTCTATGATCACCTTTCTTTATGATACTAAAGAGAATGAACAGAATCCATGGTGCAGAAGCAAGTAGTTCAAAAGGCGAATGGCCTGTGTGCGCCACAGCCTTTGCTAACCTGAGACCAGAAGAACCAGTTTCACCCACCCACCCACCCAACACAATAGAAGGCCCTGGAAAGAATGAGAAGAAATTGTAGAATAAACCCCATTTCTAAAAAGGACCAGCCTAATAGAAAGTAGAAGAGCCTCCAGGATTGCTATCTTGTGATACCCTGTGCATTGTGCATTGAAGCTACTTTTGGCCACCTTGAATCCAAATGGGAAAAACGTTATTGCCATAGGTAGCATATTGCTTTAAACAAATGAACTGTGAGCCCAGATAAGATGTACTGAACAAGGAGACTAGATCTATAGAACCAGAATAGAGAGGAAATAATGAAAATGGTTACACAGTGTGATAATTGTAACCAGTGGCATTGATCATTTAGATCTGAATTGTTAAAAACTATACCCACTGTGTAGAGTGGGTTGAGTCATAATTGTCTGCCTCACAGGACAGAGGAGAGCCTCTCCATAGGGCTTCCAAGGCAGAGGAGCAGAAGCTCCCTCTTTTCTCACTTGAAGCGGCTGGTGTGCTCAAACTGCTGATCTGATTAGCAGCTGGATTCCTTAACCATAGCATCACTAGAGCTCTTAAAATTCTTAAAAGGCAATCTCTTTTTGCTATATATATTTTTCTAAAGCAGTGAAATATTATTTTGAAAAATTGTTTCATTTCAAAGTTGTTCTGGTAGCTCCTGGCATTGCAAGTTCAGGTTGGCACTGGGCCAGGCTGTGTCACAGAAGGGGGCTAGCATATCCTGTTTTGGAAACGTTGATAAAAATTTTTTCTTGTAGATAATTTAAAATATGTGTGTGAACTGCACTGCAGTCCCAGAGGTGCATGGTTCTAATCTACCAGATGCTCTGCTGGAGAAGGAGGGACAATCTCCTCCAATACCAGTCAGATCCGATTTGACGGTACGCATACAAAAAATAATAAAATTAATTAAAAACAAAAGAACAACGTGTATGTTTTTGCACTCCAAAGCACAGTGCTGGTGGCACAGTGCTTAAGCACTCAGTTGCGAACTGAAAAACCAGTCGTTTGAACCTTCCAGGCCCTTTGGGAGAAAGATGAGACAGTCTGCTTCCATGAAGACTGCAGCTGTGGAGACCCCATGGGAAGTTGTGCTCTGTCCCATAGGGTTGCTGTGAGTTGGGATCAGCTCGACTGAAGTGGGTTTGGGATGTTTTGTTTTCTTGGTCTGTAACTAAGTTGATGGGAGGATGAGAAGCTGGTGCTGGATCTCAAAGTCCTCCAGAATCCTTGCGGAGGTGGAACTGTTGCTTGCTTGGTCTCTATTGCAGCCAGGGTCACTGCCACTGAGGAGACTGGCAGCTTTCTGTGGAGTCAGCTCTGCAAGATGGCCTGTTTAGATGCCTGGCAATTGATTTGAGGTTCCTGCTAACAAATGGTATTAATTATTGGAAACTGGTTCTTTTTGTCATCATTTAAACCTAGTTTTTAGATTAGAACCATTGAGAAATAGAGGTGCATGCTGCTAGTGGTGAGGGCAGACTCACCTTTACCAAACACAGCAGTTCAAAGATGTCTTCTCCCTGCTCTGTGTGAGGTTTAATTATCAGATTACCAGTCTGTCTGGGAGTGACTTGCCCCTTGTCACATGATGCTTGGATGTGCAAGTATGCACGTTGCAGACCTGTTTGTCTCAGTTGATCGATAGGGATTTTGTGAGAGGCCTGCTGCAGGCATTTCAATGAACAAAGACGGGATGTGGCCCCATTTCTACACTGCTGAGGGAAGTTTGTGGCTGGGCTCATTGGCAACATGGAGTCGTTCCCTCTACTGGACACTTATTTGGAAAAGGCACTTGAACTTTCTGAAGGCCAGCTCTCTGTCACCTTGCTATTGGCTCTTGCTGTCCGTTCATGGAAGTGCTTGTCTGTTGCAGGATTACTCCTCAGACCTTGTTGCCCACACTGTTGAACTCAGCTGCAGTGGACATTTAAATGATTGAGCCTTCAATTAATAGCCTTATCCATTTTGTTTCCTGTTAGTCTCTTTTTGCAATGTGTTATTTCTTTGTATCTGAGGTTATATGGGAGCATTTACCAAGCTCTTTGTAGAGGACCCTATCAATTTTTACAGTGTCTTTCCTGTTTAGATGAATGGGATGAATAGTAACCAGTGTTCTCGCTGCTTTAGACAGTAAATTGTAAAATAATGTTTTCACAGCTTTCAGTAACACCTATTCTTTTGTTTTGTCTTTGAGATGGAAGGGGGCTCTGCCCTTAGAACATGAGGGAGTAATAGATGCATGGCTCATGGAGACGAGTGAGTACTTCACACGCATCTCCCATCGTCTCTGAAAGATGCCTTGTCACTAGCTCCCCCCTCGGAGCACTGTTCATTATGTCTATGTGTTTGATTGACTCAATTCTCCTGATGGCATTGTTAAGGGCTAGGGCTCCTTTTATAAATTTTGAAGGAGGATACGCTCTTCTGAGCAGCCCACCGAGTTAGCCAGCCCCTCTGATCTCCCCTGCTGTGGACACATTGGCTGGCTGCTGTGTAGTGTGAGTGCCTGCAGGACTCTAAGGAACCTATACAGGTGTGGACTCCTGTCAGACTTGTGGGCTCAGGATTACCATTTTCTGCTTTTTGCAAATAGGCAATGGATCATCTGGAGTCCTTCATTGCTGAGTGCGACCGGAGAACTGAGCTTGCCAAGAAGCGCCTGGCGGAGACCCAGGAGGAGATCAGTGCTGAGGTCTCAGCTAAGGTGAGTTATGTATCCTGGGTGGAAAGGAAGTGGGTGACTGGGCATTTGGGAAAGAGGGAGGGGCTTTCTACTGTCTTAGAAGAGGCATTGGTAATGAGGAGTTAACTATAAGTGGGTAACTTATAGAGAGGTTGTGTGTGGCCAGGCAACTTGTGGCTGTGGTCATGTGACTTAGGAGGTGGTCTAAGTCAACTTCCAATTTTTCTTTCCACGTGGTCAAAGTGCTACTTCTTAGCATATAGGCCAGCAATGGTCAGACTGAAGGGGGGCTTTTGTTGGTGTCAGGAAGCTCAAGAATGATGTGCCATGTGCTAGCTAGGATGATGACCACAACGGGATGGTGATCCTAAGATCTGCATGTTAGGATGATGGCCTGGTGGGACATGGTCTGGGCCTCTGTGGTCAGGGAACAAGTCTGAAATTTGTTAAAACGGATGTGACGCAACATGGATCTTGATCTTTGTTTAATGGAAATTCAGCAAGAGCAACTTTAGGGATTTTTGTGTCTAGTGTCTGATTATCTGACTCCTGCTCTCTTCTCTCAGGCAGAAAAAGTACATGAATTGAATGAAGAGATTGGAAAGCTCCTTGCAAAAGCTGAGCAGCTAGGAGCAGAAGGGAATGTGGATGAGTCTCAGAAGATCCTCATGGAGGTGGAGAAAGTCCGCACAAAGAAGAAGGAAGCTGAGGTTGGTGGGGAGGCCAGGGCTGCAGATGGTGTGGGCGGGTGTTGTCACAGGAGCACTGACAGCACACGTTGTGCTTGTCCTTTGGACCTTTCCACTTGCAGTGCATTGGTGGTTGTCAGTTCTGTGAGACTTGTGTGGTGAGGATGGATTTGGACGCCCTGGTGGGTGCTCTGATTGTGGCTCACCACAAGTTCAGTGGTTTTTAGGACCAGCTGCTGCATGGCAGCATAGTCTGCCTCTGGATGACCACAGCCTTGGAAAACCTGCGGAGTATGCTTGCACTGTCACGTAGGGCTGCTGTTAGAAGAGATTGACGACAGTGGGTTTGGAGTTCTGTGCATTTTCCCGGCATTCCTGTTGTGTGAGAAAACCCTTCCTCCTCCTTTGTAGTCTGCATGTAGGGGCTCAGTTGTGGGATGCAAAGAAGACAGCAAGAACTCAGGTCAAGTTCACGCAGACTGTTGATTCACTCCTTGAAGTTGAGTCTGAGTTTGAGTGACTTTGGGTCAGTTGAGGTGATGATGTTCCACTAATGGACTATTTTTAGTGCCCCTTAAAGGTAACCTGCAGACTGAGAAGTGACTATAAAGGGGACCTCTTGCACCATACTCAGCACTGGTCAGGCTTAGTCTTGGTTAATGGAATAAAGTCCTTGGAGGGTTGGGGCTTGTAGGGATCAGTAAGGAGACAATGGTGGGGCTGCCCAACCTGGGCCTGCTGGGCATTGCTGTAACTGCAGGGGAGGCTGCTATGTATGTCTCAAGATGGAGTGATGAGCAGGGCTAGGGTACTGACATCCCCAGATAAGCTCTGGCCTTGCACTGCAGGAACAAGAGGCCAACATGCACGTCCCATTCTGTACAGAATGGCCCAGACATGGCCACATGTTCACAGATTCAGCAAATGCAGCAGCAGCAGTGTGATAGCCAGGCTGGCAATCTTAGTGCAGGAAAGATTGAAGGCTATCTTTAATTTTTGGTTCATACTTTTTATTTTGAGACACTTTTTGATTCTCAAGCAGTTTGTAGAAAATGCAGAGATCATGTTCTGTGTACCTGCCGTGGGGGCAGTGGTGCAAGGGTCCTAGCCAGCCTGTTGACAGACCCTCTTGAGAAGATGGCTTTACCACAAGTTCTCTTTCTCCATCATTGTGTCAGCAACCTGAGTTAAGTATGTGGGCTTTCACTCTAGTAAGTATATTTATGTTGAAAAATGTTAGTGGTGTTTAGTATCGAAAGGGTAGAATAAAAACCACATGTATTTGTGTTTCCCCCTTTGTGAAAGGTGCAGCATGTTAACAGACTCTGTCCCTCTGTTCCTGCCTCCCAGATTCTCTGAGTGTTCTGTGTACCTGTCATACTTCAGGGCACCTATGTACCCGTCGGCCAGTGCGTACCTTGGGCTTGAGTGTTTCACGGCCTTAATACTCCTCTGCAGCATCAGTTTTTCACTTCATGTGTATGAGATTATCTGTTTGGCTGCATTCGGCTTGTGGCTGTGTTATGTCTGCTATTGTGTTGATTCCCATTCACAGCAACCCTGTAGGATGAGGTAGATAGAACAGCCCTGTGAGATTTTCCTAGGCCACAATACCTAGCAGATCATGTGATCTTACTCTTGTTGCTGTAGGAGTCCATCTTAAGGACATGAACCTGTACTTACTGTCACCCTTAAAGACGATTCTGCAATCCAGGAGTTAGTGGATGAAGTGCTGGTACACCTGTTTACTTCTTTTAACAGATTTTAATTTTAATTTATGCAGCTGCTTCCAGAGGTTAAAGGATAATGAGAGCTTAGACCTTAGTTTGCAAGTTCTTAGGGGGTGTTTTGGATGTGTAGGTGGTTAAGTTGCTTGTACCCAGCTCACGTAAGTAAAGGTGGATGACTGCTGGAATTTGATCGACTGAATGTGCATCTCTAAGGAGCATTTTCACTTGACTGCCCTTGGTGTCTTCCCTTTTTGCTTGTGTTCTACCTGAGTTCTTTCCTGTGATTAAATTTTTCTACTCATCAGGAGCTTCTGTGACAGACTCTTTGTTCTTTTACACATAACATTTTTCCCCCTTTAAATATCTAGTGTATTTTTCCACATTTTAACTTTGGGGCTACACTGCAGGATTGTGTCTTGGCTTGCAGAAGCAGCGCCCTAGCAGTCCTGTGTTGTTGAAGGGTTTGTGGGAAGTCGCGTCGCTTCCTCTGATGCTAGATTTCATGACGCTCAGCCCCACCCCACTCAAGGCCGCAACAAGATGGCTGCTGGTTTTCCAAGAGCAGACAGAGACCTCCTCTCTGTGGAATCTCACTTCTCTGGTTCCTTTAGGTAATCCCCAGTTGGGTGGATGTGTGGCAGCCAGTTGTTGATAATGCACAACATCTTTCTGTTCCTGTTCTCTAGGAAGAGTACAGAAACTCCATGCCTGCCTCCAGCTTTCAGCAACAGAAGCTTCGAGTTTGTGAGGTCTGCTCTGCCTACCTTGGTCTCCATGACAACGATCGGCGTCTGGCAGACCACTTCGGGGGCAAGTTACATTTGGGATTCATTCAGATTCGGGAAAAGTTGGACCAGCTGAGGGTAAGGTCATGTGTTTGTATTCCCAGCTCTCCCTCTAGAATATACCAGGTGTTTTAGAGGGAAAAACTAGCAGAAACCTAAGGTCTCTGAACTAAAGGCGATAGTATCTGCTCTTGTTGATGGAAGGATGTGTAGCACTGTCTCAGCACAGAACTCCTGCCTTTCACTGAAGAGACATGGCTGGAAGAACCACTGACTGAGGCGGCTGTTAGAGGGTGGGACTGAATGGGAGGGTACACATTTGGTTCCCTTCACCTTCTCTTGGTCCTCCCAGACCCAGACAGCCTGTTTTATACACTTACTGGGTTGTTGCTTTAAGGTGCTGTCTAATCGGTTCCAACTCGTGATGACTCTGTTTGACAAAGTAATAACTGCCCCCAAGGGTCCCTTCACTGATGGCCTAGTGTCAGGAAGCTGTGCTGCAGTACTGAGAGCACATGGTTTGTATCCATCTGCTGCTCCCATGTGATTAACTGCCTCTGAAAACCTGCTAGAGGGTCAGCTATAGGTTGGTACAAAGGGTCTCCTAGGCCGCCTTCTTTGCAGGAGAAGGTCACCAAGACTTTTCTCCTGTAGACTCAAAGACTGGAAAACTAAGAGTCAGGTTGGGCAAGTTTCAGGAACTTGGAATTGTCCTTCAGTTTGATGACACCTTCCCAGTGCACACTGGGAGCCCTGGGTGATATATTGGGGAGCATGTAGACTTCCTGGCAGATGGACACAGACTGCAGACCTTGACAAACTAGTCATTCACAGCCCAGAATCTCTGCGTGCTTGAGAAGGGCAGCCTACACGCAGCAGGTGTGACTGGCTGGAGGAGGGCTTTGTAGGTGATGAGTGAGGATCAGGAAGTGGTATAGTGGTTTTCTTTATAGTTATTATTAGAAAGATATTAAATTATTTCCTATGTATCCAGTAGAGTATAAATACCAACATAGTTTAGTAGTCATTACCATCCTCTTTAGTGGTTGGAAAATTAGACCTTTAAATTGCATTTCCATTCTTCATTACTTCAAAATTTTGTCTTAGTAACTTTATATTGTAAAGCTTTGTATTACTTTCCTTATTGTCTGTCTTTCCATGAGAAATTTGACTGTGTTGCATTTTCCCCTGCAGGCTTAAGAATTCAAGTGTTAGTTTAATTTAGAAATTTAGAGTGTTATATCTACATAGATGTAGATAGTGCATAGGAAACTGACAACAAATGTATGTTTACTCTGATTATGACACGAGCAGCACAAGTGCATTTGGTGTATCACCATACCCCTCTGAACATGCTCAGTCTCATCTGATCTCAGAAGCTGAGCAGGGTGTGGCCTGATTAGTGGCCATAGACACAGTTTTTAGGGTGATTCTTGAGGATAAGGTGAGTGTGGGGCACATATTTCAGCACTGCCTCAGGGCAGCATTTGAATGAGATTTGGAGTGTATATGAATGAGACCTTTTTTCTGTCAGGAGAATGGCTTTTACTGGGCTAGGGCCTGAAAGGAAATGATCCTGTGTGGATGTGGATGTTCTTGGAACTGATGCCCCAGAGCTGGTGAAGGACAGGCAGGGCTTGGCAGTAGAAGAAGGGAATGTGAAACTGTTTCGAGAAGAACTGCTCTTAGTCTTGCTCTTTTTCTGGGAGAGGATGCTTTACTACATTGAGGATAGTCTCCTTGGGACTTGGAGTGGATACTGTGGCTGGGGCATGTGTGTCCCTGTAGTACCTTTGCAAAAACCTACTTCCTGTGAAGGCCCCTGTTCTTGTCCCTTCATCAGCCATGACCAGTGGCAGGTCCCTGAGTTTTGAAATGTGCCCTAGGTTTGTGGGGGCAACCCTTGACTTGCAGCTTGCTGCAGCAGTTTCATCACAGTGTTTGTGACATCTCCTGGGTGAATTCCTCACTTTGTGGGGCGGATTGAAGCAATGTGACAAGTATTTATCACCTCTCTGGAAATGGTCACTTTGTCCCTGAATTGAAGATGGCAAGCATTCTTCCTTCACTGTTAGAAGTTTGAGCAATGAAATGTATTCTTGTTTCTTGAAGGTTCCTGCTGTTTACCATCACCAATACTGAGCTGCACTCTAGTTTGTGACATTCTCTTAACTCATTTTCTTGATGTCTCATTTATTTAGAAAACGGTGGCTGAAAAGCAGGAGAAGAGAAACCAGGACCGTTTGAGGAGACGAGAGGAGCGGGAGCGTGAGGAGAGGCTGAGCAGACGGTGAGACCTCATGGGACCCCACCCCATCACTGGAGGGACTCAAGGACACTGGGTAGCCTTTGTTCCAGGGGACTGGAAATGGTTGCATTTTCAAAGGCAGATCACTACTCCTTTCTTCAGAGGGGCACTGACATCAGTTCTGCCATCCAAGGACTCCATCACATGCATAGATGTCAATGTAGATGTATGTGTGTGCAGCAGGCCTGCTCATGACTTGCTTCCTGGGGTGGGTGCTGGGGGAGAACCCTGGTGGAGATGGAGCCCATAGAGGGTGGGAACGAGAGGAGAGGCTCCCAGGGACACTGCTTCCATAGCTAGCCTCTTTCTCTATCTGAGTAATCACTGTTTCTGGAAGTTCTTGATGGGTTTCTTCTTTCCAGGTCTGGCTCAAGGACCAGAGATCGCAGGAGGTACGTTTCCAGTCCCTTTGACCATAGGTATGATGAGGTGAGGGGATGTGCTAAATCAGGAGACACATGCCTCTCCTGAGGGTGGAGGTCAGCCTGTTAAGCACAGGGGAGGGAGGGTCCCTGAGTGGGGAAAATGGGCCCAGGTCTGAGGGTTCCTTGGTGGCTTGGTGTGCTATCACAGTGACATTTGGAACCAGGCTGGATAAAGGAGACAATGTGAGGCATTCTGGCTGAGGGGAGGCGCCTGGGCATCTCTTGAGTAAAAGGACCTTTACAGCCTCTTGATCCTCTCCCAGGTCACGCTCTCGGGATCGACGTCGGAGGCGGTCTAGGTCTGCCTCTCGAGAGCGACGGAAGTCTTCACGGTCCCGGTCCCGAGACAGACATCGGCGTCACCGGAGCCGCTCTCGCAGCCACAGCCGGGGCCACCACCGGGCCTCCAGGGACCGGAGCTCTAGACACAAGTAACTACCCACTCCTTTGTCCTGCAGCAGGAGTGACCCCTGTGTTCCTGGCCTGCTGGTTTTCTGCACGCTTATGCCATGTCCAATAGGGACAGGTCTGGGCTTAGGCTGAGGGCCTGGCAGAAAGCTATCCAGAGGACAGAGTGGTTCTGAAGAGTAAAAACACACACACACACACACACACACACACACACACACACACATACACACATACACATGCGCGCGCGCACGTGCGTGCTGGAAAGTCCTGAACACACATACACACGCATGCTGCTGAAGTTTGCTTCACACTGTGTCTGTTCTGGGGTCCTGTCCTGATTCCTCTTGCCTGACAGCTGTGCCCGTTCAGGCAAGCAAACACTCAGCAGCACTCAGATTCCATGGTGGCCTTTGATTATGCTGGAAATTGCCTCCACATTGTGTGTGTTGTGATCACAAGGCCTGTGTATAGTTCTCTTGTGTTCTCCCCTGGCTTCGAGGTCAGTTTTTGCTATGATTAAAGTCTTCGAACCTCCATTTCATGGGTGCCACAAGTTGGCCAGGTACCCTGACCTGTGGGACCCTGGCTCCTTACCCCGGGGAGGAGGGCTGACTTGTTGGCATCCCAGAAGCCAGCTTGAGGGACCCTGAGCCTCTGGTTCCCCTCCCCAGGTTCTCCCGGGAGCGAGCATCAAGAGAGGAGTCCTGGGAGCGAGGGCGGAGCGAGAGGGGCGCCATGGACTGGAGGCTGGAGGGTTCCAACTCCAACGGGAAAGCGGCCTTGCGGAGGTCAGAGGAGAAGGAGGCTGGCGAGATCTGAGAGCCCGGCATATAGTCTGGTGGACATTGGACAGCCTGACATTACCCTTGAATTTTGTGCTACGACTCAACCTTTTGTAGTTTAAAACATTTTATTATTTGAGAGCTAGCAGTGAGTTTTAGAAGTGGCTTCTGTGTTAGGGGTTATGTTTAGTAGGAATAAATAAATCAATGGCTGCTAGTCTGCCACTTGTCCAGGGTGGGTCTCAGCTCCTCCCTCTCCACTGGACACTTCACAGATCGGGAGCTGCTGCTGTGGGTGCTGGAGATGGGTGCTCAACCTTGGAGTTGCTGGTTTATCTTTGGGTCACTGACAACACCTGTCTTACCCCTTTACTGTGGAAGAGTAGAGGTGTGATGCTGGTGGGCTTGAGTCCCACCATCACCCCCAGTGGACTCCCCGCCTGGCTCTGCTCAAGGATCTGCTCCATTTCCTGGGGAGGATCAATCTGCAGTGTAGTCACAACTTCACCTATGCTACTGTGTGCCCATGTGGGCAGCTGCTTTCTCACTAATTTGAGCCCTTCCGAAGAGGAAAACCTCTTCCAATTTTCTGGAGCATTTTTACTTGGAGGAAGGACTGTGTTTTGTGACCATGTCTTTAAAATGGCACCATCCCCACCAGTATGGGTTTTTGTGGAGTCGGAGACACCCCTTGGTTGTACTGGTGTATCGGTGTATATGAAGGCACTGGGTAGATCTGTGGCTACCAACTGTCTTTCCTGGGAATAGCCCCTTAGAAGGACAAGCAGACATGGTCCCTGATAGACATCGTTCACAGACCTGCTGCTCTGCAAGAAGTAGGGTCGTGGGTGCCCTGTACTGGAGTAATTTGCCCCATGTTCTGTTTTGTGAGTAACAGTGTTAGTTGTTAACCATTACAAAAACTTGGTCTGCTCTCCTCGGTAGGAACCTTCTTTACAGATGCAGGATCGCCACCTCTACCCTCCAGAGAAACTGGAGGGAACCTACTCTCCAGGTGGGGACCACCACCATCACCCCCTCAAAGGGGCCTTGTATACACCTTCTGTCTGAGTGGGGCTCACCAACTCCACCCCTTCAGCACTAACAATACTGTGGACCTTGTCTCTGCAGATTCATATGCGGACAGACTGACAGATGGTATAGTTGGGTGGTTTTTCCCTCATAATGGGTTTTTAACCGGTTCCACCAGGTACCCAGACCATGACTGTCTCCCTGCCCTTGGCCCCTGATCACCCCAGGAAGGCATTCCTGACTGACAAGAGCCCGTGTACACCTGTCATTAGCTTCCCCCTCCCTGCTGCTCCAAGTTCCAGCCTCATGTTTAGAGGCTCATTTGTCCCCAGTGTTTGATCTGCATAGAGTTCTGGCTAGGCGAACTCTTGTAAACCCTGAGGGAGAGGCCTTCCTACCCACAGGGAGTGGTTCAGGCTGTGACCCAAATACCTGAGTCCACGTTAAGGATCACAGCAAAATGTTTGCGTAGAGAGCAGAAGGACAGAAAGTCAAGAATTAACCATGCTGAGACAGGAAGAGAGGAAGGAGTGCAGTGTGTCAGGGGTAGTGAAACAAAGCACATTGGGAAGTGACTGCTAGCATAGGTAGGACAAGTCAGATGTTTACCAGATGTGAGCCTCTAGCCATTAAAGAGAGCTGTGTGGGTGAAGGACCACTAGGGGAACGTGGATGCACAACAGCGAGCATCTGAACAAGGGATACGGGAAGAGCCCAGCCACTACCTGGAGACTGAGAGTGCAGCCAGTACACTCTGCCTCTCACCTCGCTCTCCAAAGGAACCTGTCTATAGTAGTAGCTACTCCTGTCTCCATACCTTTTCAACATGTATGCAGAGCAGATTATCCGAGAGGCTGGGCTCTATGAGGAGAATTGAGGCATCAGGATTGGTGGAAGATCTATTAACAATCTCCGTTATGCAGATGACACAACCCTGCTTGCTGAAACTGAGGAGGACCTCATGCACTTGCTGCAAAGGGTCAAGGACTGCAGCCTTCAGTATGGACTAAGGCTCAATGTCAAGAAGACAAAGATTCTCACCACTGGACCAATTAGCAGTGTCAGGATGGATGACGAGATTGAGAGTGTTCACAGCTTCAGTTTGCTCGGCTCCACAGTCAACACTCTTGGTACCAGCAGTCAGGAAATCAAAAAGTGTATCGCGATGGGAAAGTCTGCTGTTAGGGACCTCTCAAAGGTACTCAGGAGCAACAGTGTCTCTCTGGAGACTAAGGTGCGCCTGATACAGGTCATGGTCTTTGCAATCGCTTGTTATGCATCAGAGAGTTGGACAGTGACTAGGGAGGACAGAAGGAGAGTGGATGCTTTTGAGCTGTGGTGCTGGAGAAGGGTACTGAATGTACCCTGGACTGCCAGGAAAACAGATTTATCTTGGAGAGGATTAAACCAAGCTACTCCTTGGAGGCAAGGATTCTGGGGCTTCATCTGACATACTTTGGACATGTTGCCAGGAGGGACGGGTCCTTGGAGAGGGACATCATGCTTGGGAGGGTGGAGGGACAACGCAGGAGGGGAAGACCCTCTATGAGATGGATTGATTCGGTGACTAGGGTAATCGGGATGGGTGTGTCAGAGGCGGTGCGGTTGGCGCAGGATAGAGCAGGGTTTAGAGCTGTTGTGCATAGGGTCGCTATGAGTCGGAAACAACTCGACGGCACATAACAACAACAACCATGGATAGCATAGCATTGTCAAAGATGATGAAAGGGACAGTCATTCAGATATGATCTGTAAATGTACCAGAACATGGCATACTATTTGGTAGGCAGTTTTGCAGATGACATGCACAAGGTCCCTTCAAGGAAGGAAGTCTGGCTCATCCTGTGGAATCATCCCTGGGAGATGGCCCTCTGCTGTTAAGTGCCCTGGCAGTGACAAAGCTGAAAGACCCCAGGTACACTATACCTTATGTACACTCAGGACAACCACCTTGTGTCTGAGACCCAAACATCCTAAGAGTTGTGCTTCACATGGACCTCGCACAGGCCCCTGGTGAACTTCACCATCAAGGACATGTTGGTTGTGGTCTGCCCATGATTTAACCTGTCTCCTGTTGAGTGGTCTGACTGCAAAAGGAACATGGGATTTAGTGATTTTTTTACACCTCCATTCCTCTGCCTCTTACTGTTTAACGTTTCATGAAAACATTTTATTGGTCCTTTGGATAAAAATGGGAATTTAGTTTTCCAGGAAGGATGATCCTGTCATACTTCTGCTGGAAACATCATATGGCCACCTCTTTGCTGATTGTGTTTAGACTTGATGTAGCCTGTTCTTCACTTCTTGTCTTTGATGCTGAAACCTGGTCTACGCAGCACCACATTTAAATCTGGGCTGTAAATACCAATGCTGAGGTCATATTTGATCCTCTGACAAGTGTGCTCCTGGGTCCAAAACCCAAAATTTCCAGAATCTGAGAAATTACTTTTTAGCTCTTATTCCTGCACCTTTCTCCAAGATTTTGTCTTGGTCCTTGGAACTGTGCAATTCTTTTATTTCTCCTAATATCAAAAAGCATCTGACAGTATCTAGCTTTGGAGAACAAGGGTGTCTAGCCTGTGAGCTACTCCCCAACAGCTTGGCTGCCCAGGTCAGTCTGTCTCCACTCTCACAGATGTTGAGGCGAAGCTTGTGGATGGCAGCTCCCCGGTGGGGCTCTTATTTTTCACTTTAATCTTGCCCAGTGATGGAGAACAGAAGTCTCTCTATTGTCTATAGCCTAACCTGTTCAGTTTCCTCATAGCACGTTGATTTTATGATGTGTTGTCAAGTTGCCTGCGACCTGTAGTGAGCCTGTACAACAGTCCTAAACCCTGCTCTAAACTAATTCTTAAAATGTGTAGCAATTGAATGAATGAATGCTTACTTCTGCCAGTGTAAGCCCATGTGTGTGATGTGACCAGTGTGTACCTTCTACTCCATGTATGTGACCAGTGGGATTGGAGGTGGAATTTCAGGGCCTGGGTCACTGGAAAATAGACTGCTCATGATTTGTTTTAAGAGGCAAGCTTGATGCTCCAGCTCTCCTCATCTTAGGCGGGTACTGGGCTTTAGTAGAGCACTGTAAGGCGGGGCTTTGACCCGCCCACTTTCCAGTAGATGCCTTGTGTCAGCAGGGGGAGCTATTTTGCAAGGTTTTAAGGGGAAGATCTAAGGATCCACCAAGGGTAGGTGGCTTGGGAAGAAAGGTTTTTGGCAACAGTGACACCATATCCCCCTCCCCAGACTTCCACCCTGCTCCCTGGGGCCAGCAGCCAAGGACAGTGAGTCACATGCAGATCAAGATCTGATATTGGAGGCCACAACCCCTTCCCTGGTCCATCCTGTAATCCACTCTAGAGAACATGCCAGGCCAACAGCTGGAGGACCAGGACCCGGCCCGATCCCCATCAGCAGCATTTGGAGATCATCACCGAGGTTACGTGGCTCAGGAACTTGTCTACAGAGGCCTGCATGACAGGACTGAAGTCCCCGGGGTAGTGACGGGCCAGGGTCACCAGCAGGCAATGACCAAAGTGCTGCGGAGGATGGGATCAAAGTGTGTCTAATTGAAAGCCTAGTTCCCATCCTACTGCCCCAACCCTTTCTAGCGTCATATAGTGGAGGTCATTTTCCCAGCCCCAATGCCTTTCTACCTATGTTCAGCCCCTCACCTGGAAGTTGATGGGGTCCACCTTCAACTTATGCGAATGCAGATCTCTCAGCTCAGACAATGCACCAGGCAGGTCGTCCAGTTGGTCCACAGCTTGGGTCAGCGCGTCCGCCACCTTCTTGCCTTGGGCTTTGATGTCTTTTGAACCTGGAGTAAGGTTCAAGTGGTGGAAGTAAATCTTGGTAGTGGGAAAGGCGATGAAGGTCCTGCAAGCAGAACCGCTGGTGAGGGACATTCAGAAGGGGTCGCGGGGACCCGCAGGGATGACCAGGCACCGGAGGGGTGGCATGGGGAAACTCCAGAGATAGCCAGAGTGATGGAAAGAGGCAGGGAAGTCCCAAGAGATGACTGCTGAGCTGGAGGAACACGCGGCTGTGCCCACCTTTCTAGGGCCTCTGTAGTGTAGACGCCCACATTGTTCCCCATCTTCCTCCACAGTGCAGTCACGGCCTCCCGCTCCCTCGCTGAAAGCGCCATCGCAGCCTGACCAGCACTGCGCCCTGGGTTGCGCGTGTACTGAATGTACCGAGCGCCGCCACTAGGGGCCGTGCCTCGCCGACCGAGCCTCCGCCCAGGGGCTCTGAGCGCTGTTGAAGGTGCACGGGTGACTGAGTGTCCTCCGCTAGGTATTGTTGGTAGCGAGCATTGCTTTTTGCATGGATTGTGGTGTGAGACTGCACTGACTCAGTTCAGAGTTTTTTACACCACCATCCTTCAGTCTCTCACTTGTAGAAAATCAGGCTGGCGATTGATTTATTCTTCCAAGAGTTGTGGGAATTTAGTGAAAAATATGTCAGCCTTTGTTTGATGTATTGGGCATTTAATGGGGGCCTAAGATGCACCCAAATAAATCACTCAAACTGGGCTTGTCTTCAAAGGTGGTAAAACACTTAGAGCATAAAACCCGTTAGATAATTGTAAAGTGACAGTACAGCAGAATTAAATACATTAACACCGTTACCCTGATCATCAGTCACCATACCTAGTTTCAGATCTTTTAATCACTCCAAAAGAAGTCTGGGGGGAGGGAGGATATTCTGCAACAATGAAAATCTTTTAAAAGAGAAAAGCGACAAGCAATAAATGTTGGCGAGGTTGTGAAAAAACTGGAACTCTTATTCACTGTTGGGGGAGTGTAAAATGGTTGGTGCTTTCTCAAAAAGTTGCAAAGAGAGATACCATTTGACCCAGCAATTCCACTATTGGGAATATATCCCAAAGAGATCATAACTGACATCCAAGCAGATATATGCACACCCATGTTTATTGAGGCTTTGTTCACAATAGCAAGGAGTTGGAAACAACCCAGGTGCCCAGCAACAAACAAATGGATAGAGAAGCTGTGGTATATTCACACAATGGAATACTAGGCTGCATTGAAAAACATGGAACTCATGCAATATTATTCAAAATGGTTGAGCCTGGAGGACATTCTGCTGGGTGAAATATCTCAGTCGCAAAAGGACAAATACTGCATGGTGCCACTGTAAAATGGGACTGATATCAGAGTTGGGGTAAGACTGAGAAAAACTGGACAAATCATGTATACTGCATTCAAACAGATGAAGGAAAGAATAAAAGCGATATATGATAGGATGTTGTGGTTATCACAAGAGTCCACAATTAAGGTTGCATAGTGGAGTGTACTCGAGGCAGTGGGAGGGGTGCCGGGCGATTGTATAGCAAAGAAAGAATTTTAAAAGAGTGGAGCGAACTGGGGCGGGGGGAGGGCTGGGCAGGGAAAAAAGTGCAACAATGAATGGAAATCCAAGATTTCTGTAAATGTTCATTAAAATTATTAAAATAAAAAAAAAGCCAACCAAACCTTAAATAACAAATAGAATACTTAAGAAGCACAAAAAAACGAACTGGGTGGGGTGGTAGGGAGGAAAATGTGTGACGATGAATGGAAATAGAAATTTTCTGTAAATTTTGGTTAAGATGTTAAAAATAATATTTAAACCAGTATAAAATAAAAATTTTATATTAAAAAAGGACTAAGATGCTCCTGAAAAAAAAAAGTCCCACACCTATTTTTACACACAATCCTAATTTCTCCAACTTCTAAACCATGAAAACACCAGACCTACAGAAGTCAATATTATGAAGACAAATTTTACATATGTGAATTTCAAAACGTGTGAAAATGAGGTAAGGGTAATGTCAACCCAAAATATATATATATGGTTGACTGGAAAACCAGGGTTTTTGTAAACTTTCACTCAAATCACACACAGACACCAAAAACAAAAAAATGGTATGAATTATAAAAAAATGAACAAACTTATCCTTTGAGAGTCATTCCCTAATCACGTTCTTTAAATTGATGTACATGAATTCCCTAATAAAAAAAAAGGAAATAGTATTATTCAATTATGCTCCCGCGATTCATAGCAACCCTATGTACAACGGCCCCAAACCCTGCTCTATCCTTGGCCATTTTCCTGTCTCCGACACATCTACCCCTATTATTCCAGTCACTGAATCAATCCATCTCATCGAAGATCTTCCACTCCTGCACTGTCCTTCCACCCTCTCAAGCATGACATTCCTCTACAAGGACTGGTCCCGCCTTGCAATATGTCCAAAATATGTCAGAATCCTTGCCTCCAAGGAGCAGCCTGGTTTAACCCTCTCCAGGAGAAACTTTTAGTTCTCTTAGCAGTCTCTGGTATATTCAGTACCCTTCTCCAAAATCACAGCATTATTAAGTAGTTACCAAATTTATCAACACCTTGATGGATAAATATTTTTTTGGGACATATTGACTGAATCTCTACATTTTATGATTTTAAAATTATTTACATTTTATTATAAAAATGTGACAATAAGAAAACTTGTGGAAAGAGTAATTTATCTTTTTTCTGACTGCATACGAAGAAAACCTACCTATTCCACTCACAGATTTGAGAATGTTTCTACTAAATGTTGAGTGCTGTTACGTCAGAACCTTCCAGGAGGTTTTCAGAGACAGCATATCACACAAGAGGAGATTGCCCTTCTTTGTCCAGTGAGCACCTGGTGGATTTTAACTGCATGCTTTTTGGTTCAGTTCCTTATCACTAGGCCACCAGAGCTCATTTCTGATAAATAAGAATACTAACAAAAGAAAAACAAACCCCCCCAATGCTGTCATGGTGACCCTCCGTCAGGTCCCATGACTGGAAATCTTTACAGAAATAGCCTCATGTTTCTCTGAGAAGCTGATAGTGGATTTGAACCATTGGCCTTCTTGTTAGCACCCCCTACCCCATCAGCCTCTACTCTTTCTATCCTGATGTGTCTGCCTACTGTGAATGTATCAGAGAAAGGAGCTCATGCAGAGAAAGGAGCCTTCCTCTCCATATAGTGTCCAAGCTCTCTGTTGTCCTTTTTTAAAAAAGGTCTATCATTTGGTGCATAAATGTTGATTAAGGTTATGTTTTCTTGATCTATTATTGTGCCTTGAATCAGTATGTAATGCCCTTAATTAACTTTTTGTTCTTTATGTTTTATAGTGATTTTCATTCTGAAATCTATTTTATCAGAGATTGGTATTGTCACTCCTGCTTCTTTGTGGTTGCCATTTGCATGGTATGTTTTTTTCCCCCAGTCTTTGATTTTTGAGTCTTTCTTCCCATTTCATATAGTGCTTTGTTTTTTATCCATTCTGCTACTCTTTTTCTCTTAATTGGTGCTTTTAGTCCATTCACAATAAGTGTGATTATTTTCAGGCCAGATTTTACCATTGCCATTTTGCTGTGTTTCTTTTTCTGCTGTTTCTGGTTATGATGGTCCATTGTCCTTTGGCATCTATGTGTGAATAATTTCACTTAATATTTCTTGTCATACTTGCCTCTTCCCCAGGGCTCATTGAGGGTACATTACAGTGGAGGGACCTGGAGCAGTTTTGGGCTCAGGGCAGATAGGGCAGGCCTGAGCCCTCACTGAGCTCTCTCTCTAGCACTCCCAAGAAGAGCTGCATAGTGAGGCCAGGGCCCTGAGGAGTGCAGCTCTAGCCACACTTCCAGGACACTGGGTCTCCACTCCACTGCAGTACTTAGTGGGTGCCACACAGGCTGGGGACCAAGACCTTGGTGGCCCAGGAGGTGTCAGGGGAGTGAGAGTTGTAAGGACAACTCCAGGAAAATGCCAGGCCCCACCCATGCACAGTACACTCAGTTACACTGAGATGGTGAGTATGTTGCAGTAGTTTTTGGGGTGCTAATGGAACCATGGCAGCAACTTCCCTGCAGGAGAAAGATAAGCAGTTTCTGAGGTGTAAAGCCTTAGTCGCCCAAGGGAGGAGGGCTGTGAATTGAACTTCATGGCAGTGGTTCATCAGCATCAATATTCAGTGTGATTCCAAAAGAGGTGGCTGCCATGTCCTCTCCATGGGCCACCATGGGAGCCCTGGCCACCTCCAAGACCTAAGCTATCTCCCACCCTGAATGTGAATATCTCCCAACCAATGTGATTGGTATAAGGGCAGAAATGAATAATTTCAGACCACAGTAAACATGCCAGGCTTGAAAGGAAAGGCATGAAGCGAGGGCTGTCAGGAAGGTGATGCTGGCTTGCAGTCTCTGCTTCTCATTTCCTCCCTTCTACATTGTATGATTAACCTAGCTCCACTGTGGGTCCAAGGGAGAGCAGTAATGCCTTGGACCTCCCTCTCCTCCTCTGGACATCACAAGCAAAGAAACCCATCCCACCCCTGGCACATTCAGACACACACAGAGCTGAGACTACTCCAGGCTGCCGTCTACTCAGACTTTATTCATAGACTTGGAGGCCCGTGCAGGGAAGGGAGGAGGCCCACAGAGCCTCTACTGGACCTTGCTTAACGATATTTGGAGGTCAGGGTGGTGCTCACGGTGCTCAAGAACTTGTCCAGAGATGCGTGGATGGCAGGAGTGAATTCTTTGCCAAGGTGGGCAGCCAGAGTCACCAGCAGGCAGTGGCTCAGAAGCTGCAGAGAGAGGAGGAGTCAGGGGATGTCCAGGGACCTATTAAGGGATCCTCCCCTCTGCAGATACCTCAGCCCTGTCGTCCTCGACTACCAGCCCTCACCTTGAAGTTGACAGGGTCCACCCTCAGCTTGTGAGCATGCAGGTCACTCAGGGCAGACAGGGCTTGGGGCAAGTCATCCAAGTGGTTCACAGCGAGGGTCAGAGCATCGGCCACCTTCTTGCCATGGTTCATGATATCCTTGGAACCAGGGGTCTGGTCGAAGTGAGGGAAGTAGGTCTTGGTGGTGGGGAAGGAGAGGAAGGTCCTGCAGAAAGAAGTGGGTGGGTGAGCGGGTGAGGGGGCTGGGGTGATGGGACAGGGAGGTGGGGACAGCTCACTCAGACTGAAGGAGGGCTGGCAGGCTGGGCTGGAGCAGTACTGACTGGCTCCCTGGCCTTAGGGACCAATGAGGGGCTCTGGGATGGCGTTGAGCATGAGTGAGTGGGGGGAGGGAGAGGACAGTCCTCACCTGTCCAGGGCTTCACCGCCATAGGCACCAATGTTGCCTCCAGCCTTGTCCCAGGCGGCCTTGACGTTGGCCTTGTCAGCAGCAGAGAGGACCATGGTGAGCTGTTTCTGAGTCTGTGTGCAGATCAGAAGCGTGCGGAACAGGGAGCGCCCAGGGATTTTATGCCTGGGACTCGGGGAGGAGGCGGCACGCCCCTAAGGGCGGAGCTCGTTGGCTGGCGCTGTGTCAGGTTTTGCGGCGCGGCCAGCAGGTGACGCTCCCGCGCAGGGTCTGCGTCGCTCTGATGGAGGGCGGACCCTGGTCTACCTGGTCCTAGGACCACATCTGAGTCCCAACAGGTCATTCTTTCATCCTCTGCTCCTCTCTGTGTGCCCAGTCCTCTGAAAGCACTGCGAGGACTCAATCTCACCCGTACGTCTCTGCCCCAGCTACCCTTACCTGAGGACCCAAAGACAGGAAGCCAGCCACACTTGACATAGGCTTCTAGACGCTGTACTTAAGTGAACTTGAGCAGAATAAATGATTTATGTACAAAAGTCTTGCCCAATCCAGAGCAAAGAAAGAAAAAGGAAAAAAAAACCACCCCAAAACAAAGCCTACAGGAGAATTCCCACACAGCCTCAGTTTCCATTTTCTTTTCTTTCCTGTGTTACCCTCTGAATGCCAGCTGTGAGAAAAGACATACAAAAGACCCTGAGTTCATGGGCGTGGGGTGGGGATCTCATCTTTTGTTACTCCCCGGGGGTTCCTACTGCATAGTCCAAGTTGCCCATGTGACACTTTGTGTGCTTTTCTGTTCCACTGGCCAAATGTTCATAATCACCACCGGGACCAAGACTGACTGTAGTTGTTGAATGGACGGCCTGAACAAGAACTGGACTTTTCTTTTTTTCTCTTTTTTTTTTCCCTATAATTATATTTTATTAATTTTCATAAACATTTACAGAGATTTTGGGCTTCCACTCATTCATTGTTGCACTATTCTCTCTACCCTCCTCCCAGTTTGTTCTTGTCCAAATGCCACAGTGCTTGTCAAAGCCAGTTCTGATTAATCTTCTTTGTCAGTGTGTCCTTTGCCATTCCCTATCACTCCTCCCTGAGAGAGACTTCACCCTGAGTCATAAGGAAAAGGGGATGGCGTATTCTCTTAGCTACTTCCTGCTGAAAAGGGACGCTGTGGGTTTCAGGGTGAAGATCTTCTCTCACTACTCTAAAGGGCCCCTTTGGCAGTAGGAAACACATAGACTGTTATGGAGATTGATTTTGGAATTTAGATGCACTCTTATTGATTGTGCAAGAACTGGACTTTTCAGCCCTGAATCATCTCTTGGGTAAATCAAAGGTCACAAACCCTGTTAAAATCTCAAAAGGAACATGGTGCATTGCAGGAGCTTACTGGGGTGGTTGGTGCTTGATGGAGTTTCTGTTGCTGGAGGACAGGCAATGAGTAAGCATTAAATGGAGTAAGGTGGAGGGTGTGTGTGTGTGTCCTTGCAGCTCTCAAATGAGGGTGCTATGATGTGAGGATGAGAAGACTGGAAGAAGCTCAGCAGCCAGACTCCACAGGCAGGGAGACCCAGGGAGAGGGCCACACCCTAACAGTGTGTATGTGTGTTGGGAGGGGTCACTGGGGTTTCCCTTCTCATTTACATGCATCCTTTTATCCTAGCCCTGCCTACCTTCTGGGTTTTCTCTTGAACAAATGCTGCTACTTCGATCTTGTGTCATTGGTTGTTCTAAGGACTGAGTGCAGCCCTAGTGTTACCTATGTCTACTATTTGGATGAAAGTTGAGCCACAGGAGTGAGGAGTCACTTGAGGGCCATCATTCTGAGGTTTGATCAGTTTCTATTAGACCAGCAAGGCTTGGTTTTAGGCAGTGAAGAGAAGCTTTGGTAGGGCAGTGGTTAAAACAGTCAGTTGCTAACTGGAAAATTGTTAGTTAATATCCCCCAGCTACCATCTTGGGGAAAGAAAGGCCACTCCACTTTAACACTGCACCACCCGGTTCCTGCTAAGGCTTTTCTTTCTTTTTATTGTTTTCATCTGAGTGAAAGTTTACAAATCATACTGGGTTTCCACCTAATCATCCATACACATTTTGTTATATTATTGATTAATGTAATTAATTCATTGCAGTGTCTGTTCCACTGCTCACTGTGTGTTACCTTTCCATTCACCCAACTACTTATCTACTTATTAATTTTTATTCACCTCTTCATCACTTTCTATCCCTGGTAAACGTCTAAGAATGATTCCGTGTGTAAACCTTTCTTTAGTTTTGGGGTTTTTTTTTTAATTTTTTTTTTCTTTCTTTAGTTTTTTTACAACAGCACATGCTTGTGATAATTGGGGCACTAACAGTGGGAAACTATCGGGGACCAGCCCTGATATATCAGGAGAATTCTGCCAAAAGGAGGCACCAGGTTGAAATTAAGATGCGGAGAGGCTAATTGCTGATGACAAATAGCAAGTTTAATATTCTGGCAAGGGTATATATATATATATCTTAGGAACATGCCTGCAGGGGTAATCGCATTATCTCTTATCTGAGATGTTGACTGGTAGATCAAACATTAACTCTTGCAGACCTCAGCACAACACAAAGATGTTTTATAGCAGTCTTATTGAGAGCTCTAAGAAACAAAGAGTTTCAGTAAATAACATTCCCCAAGGTCTGAGACCTTTGATCACTCTTATTCATTAACATGCTGCTTCCTGGACTTGTTTACTGTAGAACGGATGGTCAAGCCAAGATAGGTGGTCCTGCTGTTTTTACAATGCGTTGCTGATCCTGCTTTGCAGGTTAGCCAGGTCCTGACAGTTCCTCCCTCTTAATATAATAAAATATGGGATGCTGCCTGTCTTAGGTAGATATGAGACCTCAAACTCAAGTTGCCTGTCTTTGGGATCATAGCAGTCAATGCTGCTCTCCGTCTTAGGATCATGAGTGAGTCTCATTCCTTGCCCGTCTTTGGCTACACATCCTGCATTTGTCTGGGGAGGGCCTTAGGTAGAATTCCATGCACTTTACACAGCAGTTCTCTAACGCTTGGCTATAATATGACCAACACAAGGGAGGACCCATAGTATACCTATAATAACAATACAAAGAGCAACAATCGTAAAAAGAAGATTTCTAAATGAAGTTACTGAAGGAAACCAGTTTTTAGATTCTCAAATATTTGGCCAGCTTGTTCAGCTGGGGAAATATTTATAACTGGGGTATTCTGCATTTCTATAATTATTTGGTGCAGATCATACAAATCAAGAGAATCATTATTAGACATCCAAACTCCTTTTAAATTTGTCCAATCATTATCTGAGCTATTGTATTTCAATTTAGTAACACAAATAGAGTCATAGGCCGCATGCCATCTTAATTCTAATTTGTTGTACCATGTTTCCTAATATATTTACTATATCATATAAAGCATTTAATTTTGTTCCATAACTTCATCCACATTCTCTTGCTCTACCCAATTTTTTGTCACATCATGCATTAACCCATTTACAAACTTAGTCGTTTGGACTTCTTGATTCAAAGCTACAGCAGAAGTAGAAACAGTAGCGATCATAGAGATAAGAGAAACAATTCCTACAGTAACCAAACCTATAGCTCTTTTGGTTCTAAATGACAACTTATATAACTATATTAAAATTTGCAAGCTTTTATCATCATACCAAATATCATTTAACTTTCCCGGTGTCATAACAAAAGGAGGATTCTTTAGAATAACAACTGAATCATCTTTGATAACAGAGCTAATACAGTTAGAAATTTTACAAGAACAACTTACATTATATTTCAGATAATCACCAGTGATAACATTATTACCAATCAATAACACATATGGTTCATGTACACATGACAGGACTTTGGCATATGTGACATTATCTCCTTTAGATTTATCTTTAGGTATACAGAAAATATTTATAAATCACATACTAGCAACTAATTTTCATAATTCAGTTTGAAAATTCTTCATATCAATAGTCCAAATTTCTTCTACTGATCCTTAGCTTCGACTTTATTTGATGGAGCTCAATTGTACAAATTTAAATCTGCAGTAACATTTTTCTCCAGCTGAGAAGGTGAAGTAAAGGTAGATCTGGAACATATGTCCTTTAAGATTCAGCTTGAATCCTAGTTGTCAGAATTAGCGATATCACCATCTTTATTTCTGTCAGGTAAGACCTCTTCTGCAGAGCGCACCAACTTTTCAGGGAGGCACTCTGCACTTTCAGAGTTCTGTGGAAAAATACAAACATACCCTCGACCCCATATTAACACAGGGTCTTTATCATTGTTTGGTTAATGCATCCTTCCATTTAATTTCAGTATACTTTTATTGTATGTTTCACCATCGTCTGTCTGCGGCAGACCTTTTATAGTCATCCGAAATTAAAAAATTTAAAATAACTTGTAAATGAGAAAAAGAATTATTTGAATTTTAGGGGATATAGTACTCCAATAATTCCCTCTTTCTTTATTTAAATAATTTTTGATAGCAGAAAAAGTACATTCTATGATACCTTGTTTTTGAGGATAGTAAGGAAACTCAGTTTTATGACAAATAGTAAAATATTTACAAAAATTTTGAAAACTCTTGCTGGTATAGCCAGGAGCATTATTAATCTAGATTATTTTAGGAATTTCTAATATAGAAAAGGCTAATAAACAATGTTTTATAACATATTTAGTTGCTTTT